AAATAAATCAGGCACACAAGTTCAAATATCACAAGGTTTCTTTTATATGAGAAACCCAAAATATAAATAAAAAGCAAAATAAAAGACAGATAATGGGAAAAGGGGAGATCAATTTTTGCAAAACAGAAGAGGACCAATAGAGGGAAGGGGTAAAGTGAAGGGACATAAAAAGTACTAAGATGTGTTATGTGTACCAACCCCCCACAAGGATTGTAATCATTGTGTACTGCAAATCTGTAATTAGTAAAATAAACTAAAAAGGACACTAATTTGATTAGATCACATACTTCAGTCAATTCTTTCAATCCTGTTTTTATAATCTGTTCTAGTTTACTCAAAACATACTTCCAAAAATTGAAAAATGTACAAGTGAAATTTCACAATTCTAAATTTGATCTAGAACACAAAAATAATTGCAAAGAAGGTTCATAACTTAAGGCTCAGTATTTATAAAGATATAAATTATTTAAAGATACATTGATAGAGTCAATTACAATGATGTTTTCCATGTATGTAGTGGGTTGTGTGTGTATGTGTGTGCAAGAGAGAGAGATAGGGAGACAGAGGCAGAGAGACAGACAGAGATTAAAAGATAGGGAAGAAATTTGGCACCTTGTTCAAAAGTGAAAAGGATAAAGAATAATCCAAATATTCTGTTAAAGGGAAGAATAATGTATGATAAAGTGCTTTACCATATATTGAGACCTAGTAAAAAATTATATATTTCAGGTAGTGTGATATTAGTATAAAAAATACAAAAGACCAGTAAAATAATTTAGAAAGCCCAGAAATAATTTCAAGAACATATAAACTTTTGATTTACAAATATAGCATTGAAGAGAGGTAAAGATAAACATATCTTTTTAAAGAAAGACAACAAATCAACAGAAAAATGAATAGCTAAAATAAAAAATTAATCTTGACTTCTAATTCACACCTGACTTTCAGATAGATTATATAACTAAATGTAAAAGGCAAAATAATAGCACTCCTATCAAGTAAGATAGAAGACTATCCCTAACACATAAAGGTAAATTGTGAGTCCTTAAATTGCACAAAAAGCACTAATCTTATAATTAGATTGATAACTTTGACTATATTAAGAATTCTCACTAATCAAGTGATACAAATAAGAAAGTGAAATGACAAATCATGAAGTGGGACAACGTGTTAGAAATTCAGATACAGTTATATTATCCATTCCCATAATAAACATCAAAGGTGAGGACATTATAAAGAAAGAGGTTTCCTAAGTTGTCAATTCTAAAGTTTCAGGGCATGGTGTGGACAATGGCTTGGCTCTGGCCTCCTGGCACCTGAGGACCTTGTGTCAGATGGCATCTCAATGGGGAGGGAGTGCACATGTGAGAAGGAGAGAGAGGCCACAAGAAGATGGGGAGGAGCGCAGAATTGATCATTTAGGACAACCTCATGAGAACTAATACGATCTTGTAAGCGCTAAATCAGTTACTTCCAAGGACAGTGCCTTAAAAATGATCTAAGTACTTCCCGGTAGGCCTTTTCCTCTACAGGCCCCACTATCTCATAACTATACCACACTGGGAACCAAGTTTCCAAAACATGAACTGTTGGGGAACAAACTACATCAAATCATCGCAATAGATAATTTACCAAAGGTCAGTGTTCAGAGTACATAAAGGATATTTCCAAACCTATGTCAAAAGACAAAGGGCATAACAAAAAGAAAATGGGAAAGAAAATTGAATAGGTACTATACAGAAGAAGAAAGCAGAATGGCTAATATATGAAAGGACATTATGCCATAGAAGTTACCTAGAAAATCAAATTTTAAAAGCAATGATAACAATACCCATCAGATCAGAAAAATCTTTAAAGTCTCATAATCTTAGATATTGGAAAAATGTGAAACAAGGAACTTCTATATACTGCTGGGGACAGGAGACATGAAGTGCCACGACCACTTTGGAAAAAGAGGTTGGTATTTCCTAGCAAAGATGAATGTGCCTATGCCGTATGATTTCGCAATTCTATTCCTAGGTACCTATCCTAAAATAATCATTTCAGGTATAAGAGGTATGGGACGTCATATCCAAGAACTAAGAAAAAATCCCAAATATCTATCAAGAATAAATGCATAAACTGAAGTATACCCATAGTATACAATAAAAACCATACAATGGAAATATCTAAGTATACTGACATGCATCAACAAAGATGAACTTCAAAATATTGAGTGAAAATTGAGAAAACTGCAACATAATAAGTATAGAATATACTTATTTATATATATAAAATTTTTAATTACACACACAAACACACACACACACACACGACATTTAGAAATTGCAGCTTAAACAGATGGCTTGCTACCGAAAACTTGTGCTTTCTTAGTGTAGAGTACTTGTAATGTACTTAGTCATGGAAAGTATCTACCGAGCCAATCACTGCATGTCCTAACTGCTCCAAACTGCTTTATACAATTAAATAGATTTACATGACAATATTATAACTAATGGAATGTGAACACATGGTATCAACCTTTCCAGACTGGCCCATGAAAGTTTCACATTTCCAGCTAATTGGAAAGGAAGTAACCTTAGAGTGACACAGTAGAAGAGGAGAACCTAGTCACTCTATTGACCTGTTCACCTGCCTAATTACAGAACATTCCAGCAGTGCTATGTAAACAAGGAATAAACATCTACTTAATTTAGGTGAGTATCCATTTGGGATCTAAAGTTGGGAGCTATTAGCCAAAGTAATTCAGAAATGAGCACCCTTAAATGGGAGGCTGATGAGCAAAAACCTAAAAATGTGGAGATAAAACTCAGCCATGGTGAATGGTGAGAAAATGAATATCACAGACTGGAAAGACAGGCACCATGTTTTGGTAATGCAAATATTGAAAAAAGTAATATGAGAGTATCCAATCTAAAAAAAGAATATATAAAGAAAACCAAGAGAATAATGATAAACATAAGAATATGGGCAAAAAATGAGTATGTGATAAAAAGAGAATCTAAGGAAAGTTCTAAGATAATGGCAAAATTCTGGGTAGCGAAGTATGCATGTTCACATTACTATTAGCTTTAAAAACTACATATGTGTCTCATACAAGCTGTTAAATATACAATAAATTCGCTATTAAAAGAAAAGTCAACATTAAATTTATTTTATCAAAGGCTCATGAAGTAATTTATGGAACAAAAACTAGCAGCAAAAAAGTACATGTTTGGAGAAAACATTTTTTTGTATGTGAGTGAAAACCAGAAGAGTTCTGCCACTGAGTTACATCCTCACTCTTAAAATTTTTCTTTTGAAACAGTGTTACTAAGTTTCCCAGATTGGCCTTGAACTTGGGATCTTCCTGCTTCCACCTCCTGAGTAGCTGAGAATATAGTGTGTGCCATTGTACTCAGCAAGAAACAGCATTTTATAAAGCTGGGCATTTTACTCAGCTGGGCATGGTGGCACACACCTATAATACCAACACTCAGGAGGCAGAGGCAGGAGGGTTGCCATGAGTTCGAGGCTAGCCTGGGCTACCTAGTGAATTCATGTCCAGCCTGAACTACATAGAAAGACCTGTCTCACAAAACAAAAACAAAAACAAAAAATCCCACCAACACCCAAAAAACAAGCACAGTACTCTTTATATTTGAACAATTCTTGGAAAACAAGTTGTGGAAGTGCATATTATCAATATGTTAAGGATTTTTCACTTCTTGAGAAATTAAAGACACATTCCCTTTAAGGTCAAAATGAAATGCCATCATTTATCAATACATAATTATAGTTACTGGAAAATACTACATGAAATGTTTTTAAAGACGTGTCATTAGAGGAGGAAAAGAAATGTGTCATTAGTTAACATTATATGATCATTTACATAAAAAACTTAATCCCAAAAGGCAAAACTGTTAGAGTTAATAAGAGCCCAGATTAAAAAAAAATAACAAGCCCAGAAAATTATTTTACATAAGTAAAAATTAAGAAAAGAAAAAATTTTCCTTTATGCCACAAAACCCAAGTAGAAAACCTAGATATCTTTCAGTATAAGGGCAAAATTATGGTAATTAACTTTGGTAATTAACAAAGAATACGTAAAATCTTTCCACAGAATAGGTGACTTGTTTAAGAAGCATAAAAGGAGATCAACATAAATGAGACTCCTTTTTAATGTTGATGAACAGGATTATATACTAGAGATGACAAATCATCCTAAAACTATCATATAATTTTAATATACTCCCAGTGAAATTACAGTTGGATTCTTTTGTTTTACAATACTGGGGACTGAACCCAGGGGCTCTGTACCACTGCATCCCATCCTCAGTCCTTTTGATTATTTTTGTAAAATTTTGACACAAGGACTCACTGACTTGCCTATGCAGGACTCAAATGTGCAATCCTGCCTCAGATTTCCTTGGTGCTGGGATTAATTGTGTGTCCCACTGCACCTGGAAAGCTGGATATTTTATAGAGAACTCAACAAACTCATAAAAACCAAGAAAGTAGTAGAAAGGAGTACAAAGAAGGATTTGTGCATGTTGTACTATTTAAATTTCAGGAAGAGCCAAATAGTAAAACAGAATACACAAATAGAGTGAAAAAAAAGCTGTATGAGACATCAGCAAGATGGCAGAACGGGAAATTTCAGGCTTCATGCCTCAAAGAAACACTGATTTAACTGTGATACATAGAGCAAAATATCTATGTGAGAAGACTAGACTCCAGTGAAGAAGCAGTACTACTTTACAGGAGTGAAAGCCAGAATAATCACATAAGAATGGTGGCAATAGCAAGAAAACTTAAAAAAAAATCAATATTTCAATATTTCCTTCTGCCTAAACTCTAGTCATGCATTGCTTAAAGACAAGGATATAATCTTTAAGAAGCACAGTTAGGTGAAGTCTTTGTCATGTAAACAAACATCCTAGAGTAAATGTACCCAAACCTGGATAGTATTGGCCTACTATAGCTACGCGAGCTCTAAGTTTTTGCATTTTGTTTTTCAGGGAATCTGCATGTCATGATTTTCCTGGTATCTTCAGATCTGCAGGTCTGAGCTGTGACCCTCAAGGAGGTACATGAATGTAATGGCATCATTAAATATTGAGACTGTACCATATTTGAACCCAAACTTGCACACAGGTTAGGGTTTTATGGACATTAACCTGGAAGCTATTTCATTTTTCAGCACTTCTAATGATTTTCATTAATACACCTTTGCAATGTGACTACCTTTAAATCTGTCTCCATTCTTCTGATCTGAGATCTCAAAAGAGGATGAGAACATACAACTTCTGAAGGTCTTCCTGTGTCAAGGGAGTTACAGATGACACAATTTGGCCCAAAAGAAGAGCATATGGGATTAAATTGCTGAGACGTGCACACTCAAGCCCATCTAATTTAAGCAGGGGTGTATAATAAGGTTGAGGAAATGATGCAGTTTATTTATGAAAAAAGAAGGTTCGGGATTAAAATTGTAAAAATTATCGATTTAAAAACCTGACTAAGTATGGATACAGATCTTAACTTGGGGTGAAGTTTAATAAGACAAACCAGACCGATAGTTCGAGTTTTCTTTTCTTTCCTCTTGCTTCCCAGGGGGGCCACCTCCATAAATTATTGATTCAAAATTATTTAATACCTTTTTCCTGAAGACAGCTTAGGTTGAATTCATAGGCTCAAATCCTGAAGATTAGGGTAGAAAGGCTGCCTGATTATGTGCTGTATGGAGGAGAGAATCACAAGGCTGGAGACATTCAGAGGAACACAAAACTTTCTTTTCAATGAACAAACATAAAATAATAGTGTAAATGAAACCAATTAGCAAATATATTGAGATATTTTGTAAACAATGGTATTGGTAGTTTGAGGAAGTATATGAACTTCTCACTATTTCTTACTTATATCTTCTATTTTGTTGTGTTTCTCATACAAAAGAAACTATGCAGTATTTGAGCCTGCACATCTGAATTATTTCACATAGCATTATTGTCTCAAATTTTATTCATTTACCTACAGGAGCATCAAGTTTATCTTACTCTATGTCAGCATAGTACTCCATTGTGTATAAATACACTTTTTCTGTATCTATTCATCTGTTGATGGACATATATGCTGTTTCCAAGATCTAGCTATTTTTTTTAGTTTATTGGTACAGTTTAGGTATACAGTACAGTTACATTCATTATTGGGATCTTGTACCTTTACATGACAGGTCTTGTTTCTCATTTTTTTCTCCTTGTCCCTGCCCTCCCTTCACCCCTCCTCCCCTCCCCCTTTACAAACGCTTCATTTCCATTTTCTCATATTTTTTTTCTTTTCCCTTATTACCTTTCCCCTACCCTTCCCACTTTCCCCACACCTTTAGCCCTTTTCTTCCTATTTCACATTGTCAATTATATCATTAGGATTTTACGTACTATTACAGTTTTTTACACCAGAGAAACTATTCGGTATTTACACACGTGTGACTTATTTATTTCACTTAGGAGTATATCCTCAATATGTATCCATTTTCCTATGAATGAATCTAATTTCTCATTATTTATGGCTGAGTAGTATTTCATTTTATAGAAAAACCACATCTTCTTTATTCAGTTTCCAATGGATGGGCAAATGGGCTGTTTCCAAGTTTTAGCTATTACAAACTGTGCCTCTATAAACATAGGTGAACATATATCACTGTGATATGATTCTTTTAATTCTTTTGGAAAGATACCCAGCAGAGGGATGGCTGGGTCAAATGGAACCTCTAGTCCAAGATCTTTGAGGTATCTCCATATTGATTTCCACAGTGGTTGCACCAGTCTGCACTCCCACTAACAATGGAGAAGGGTTCCTTTCTCCCCACAACCCCGCCAGCATTTGTTATTGTGTGATTTCTTGATAGCAGCCATTCTTTGTGGGGTGAGGTGGAATCTCAGTGTTGTTTTCATCTGCATCTCTCAAATGACCAGTGATATAGAATATTTTTTCATATATTTACTTGCTGCTTTTACTTCTTTGTCTGAGAAATGTCTGTTCATTTCGGATGCCCATTTTAGAATTGGGTCTTTATATTTGGGGGGGTGGTTGTTTTGAGTTCTTTATAGACTTTTTTTGATGACAGCTATTCCTTCTTGGATAAGATGATATCTCAGTGTAGTTTTAATTTGCATTTCTCTGATGGCCAGCAGTGATGAGCATTTTTCCATGTATTTATTGGCCATATGTACTTTTTTTCTGAGAAGTGTCTGATCTTTCAGTAGCCCATTTTTTTATTGTGCTCTTTACTTTGGAGGCTCTAATTTTTTTTGAGTTCTTTAAATAATATTGATGTTGATCCTTTGTCCAAATAATAGCTGGCAAAATCTTTTGCCTATTCTTTAGATTGTCTTTCACTCTGTTGGTTTTCTCCTTCGCTGTGCAGGATTTTTTCTTTTTTTTTTTTGTACCAGGGATCAAACTCAGGATGTTGTGCTTGTGAGGCAGGTGGTGGCACCACTGAGCTAAATCCCTGGCCCCTTGTGCAGAAATTTTAAATTTGATATTATCCAATTTATTGATTCGTGGTGTTATTTCTTGTGCCATTTGGGGTTCTTTTCAGAAAGTCCTCACCTAGGCCTATGTCTTCAAGAGCAGTACCTATTTTATAAAAGCCGATTGTAAGTCTTTCGTTAACATTTAGATCTTCAATCCATTTTTATTTTAGTTTAGTATGTGGTGAGGTATATGAGTCTAGACTCAATGTTCTGCATATGGATATCCAATTTTCTCAGCACCATTTATTAAAAAGCTGTCTTTCCTCTAGTGTATGTTTTTATTGCCTTTGTCAAAGATCAAATAGCTGTATGTACCTAAAATTGTTTATGCTTCTTCTATTCTGTTTCATTGATCTGAATGCCTGTTTTTATACCAGCACCATCCTGTTTTAATCACCATAACTTTATAGTATAACTTTAAGTTGGTTATTGTGATGCTACCTGTTTTATTTTTGCTACCCAGGATTGCTTTTGCTATTCTGGGTTTCTTCTAATTCTATGTACATTTTAGGATTGTCTTCTCTAAGACAATCTCTTTGAGAAATGACTTTGGCATTTTTATTGGTATTTCATTAAATTTCTGTATCAGTTTTGGAAGTCTAGCCATCTTTATGTTCATTTTGTCTATTGAGGAGCAGGGAATATTTTACCAATTTCTGATGTCTTTCTCAATTTTGTTTTTCAGATTGATGTAATTTTCATTATCAGGATCTTTCACCTTCTTAATTAGGTTAATAGTGAAGTATTTACTTTCTTTTATTCTATTGTGAATGGTATTGTTTTCCTAATTGATTTTTCAGTGAGTTCATCATTAGTCATCATTAGTGTATAGAAATGCTATTGATTTTTGTGTCTATTTTCTTTTGGTATTTTACTTTCTTTTCATTCTAATTAATTACTAGCCCTACCTGATGCATTTATTTTATTAGACCTTTTAGTATCATTAGCTTCATTATCTCCTTATAGGATGTCCTAGAGACTTTTTTTTTTGAGTGTTGGTTTGGTGATCATAAATTTCTTTAGGTTTTATCATGGAAGTATCTTATTTCTCCATCAATTTTTAAGGATAATTTTTGCAGGATATAACAGATTGGGATGGAAGTTGTTTTCTTTAAGTGCTTGAAACACTTCATTCCATGCTCTCCTTGCTGCTAAGGTTTGGGTTGAGTAATCTGTTGTAATTCTAATAGGTTTTCCTTTATAGGTGAGTCACTGCCTTTCTTTAGCAGCTTTTAAGATTCTGTTCTTGTGTTGTATTTCTGGTATTTTAATTATTATGTGGCATGGAACATTTGTTTTTCTGATCATGGCTACTCAGGATTCTATTATATTGGACTTATCTGTATGTTACATTATTTTTCCATGTCTGAAAACTTTTCTGCAATTACTTGTGCAGACAGGGATTTTATGCCCTTTGTGCCATCTTCTGTTTTTTTTTTTATAATTCCAATTACTCATATGGTTCTCTTTGAGACATGTAGGAGCTGTTGAACTCATTTTTCATGTTCCCTTGTTGCTTTTAAGGTATCTCTCATTAATTGGCCATTGACCACAGACCTGTCCTTTGGGTCTGACATTCTGCCCTTACACTGGTCACTGCTGCCGCCCATATTTTCAGTGATATTTTTAATCACCTGGGTTTCTGTATGGAACTTTCTTAGGGACTCCCATTCTTTTCTGTGCTGGGCATTTGGGTTTTGTACTTCTTTCTTTAACTCTGCTGGCTGTTTATTAGTGTCTTCTCTAGACTCATGGATCATTTGTTTCATTTAGTTGTTATGTGATTAGTTATATCTTCTTTAAGTTTGCCAAGAACCTTATACAACCTTTCTACCTCCAGTAGTACCCTTTCACACTTATCTGCTGTGTAGCTTATGATTTCCATCCCATCAGTAGCCTCTGTACTGATTTTGGGGGAAGAGTTGGGAGTTTTGTTGCCTGACTTTTCAAATTTCATTTGTTTCTTTGTTTCTGTGTACTGGAATTCACAAATTCTTAGGCCCAGGGCTCCATTCTTTGGCAGCAAGCCACAATATTATTTATTTCTCCTCCGCAGGCAATGCAGGTATTGGCATAGAGGGGAAACCAATTGCTGACCATTACTACATTACCTTGTCTATGGTAGTAAACTTGGAGACAACAATGGTATTTCATGTTAACTGGATATTGACAAGCCTTAGAAATCACTCATGAACAGCCCTTTACCAAAACAAAGAGGACTCCGATTTTAGTGAAGACATTTAGGTCACCCCTATATTGACTAATTCAGAGCACTGATTTCTGCTACATGTTGGCAGCAGTGCCAGAGCTCAAACATAGCACTAGATTATGCTTTCTTTTTAAAGACTGGCTCTCTGATGATTATTTTCCCAAAACCTGGCCTCCTACAACAGAATACAGGCCCTGTGATCTTTTTTTATTTTTTCCATTAAGTTTCCATTGGTACATTTTAGGCATACAATACAGTTACATTCATCATTGGGAACTTGTGCCCTTACATGGTGTATCTTGTTCTTATTCTTTCCCCATTTCCCTGCCCTGCATTCAACCCCTCTACCCTTCCATATTTACAAAGACTTTGTTTCCATTTTTTCCTTTTCTCATATTTTTTCCTTTCCCTTCTTTCCTTTCCCCTACTCCTCCAACTTCTCCTGCCCGTTGAGACCTTTTCTTCCTATTTCATCTTATCAAGTATACATTTTGATCCTTATTTACACTTTTAGTTTCTCACACCAGAGAAACTAGTCAGCATTTACATGTGCATGCTATTTATTTCACTTAAGAGTATGGCCTCAATAGGCATCCATGTAGCTATAAATGACTCTAGTTTCTCATTCTTTATGGCTCAGTAGTACTCCATTTTATAGAAAAACCACATCTTCTATATCCAGTCTCCAGCTGATGGGAAAATAGTTTATCTCCAACTTTTAGCTATTACAAATTGTGCTGCTATAAACACGGGTGTGCATATATCTCTGTGGTATGATTCTTTTAATTATTTTGGAAAGATACCCAGCAGGGAATAGCTGAGTCAAATGGGACCTCTAAACCTAGTTTTTTGATGAGTCTGCATATTGATTTCCATATTGGTTGCACCAGTCTGCACTCCCACCAACAATGGAGAATAGTTCCTTTCTCCCCACAACCCCGCCAGCATTTGTTATTGGTTGATTTCTTGATAGCAGCCGTTCTTTCTGGGGTGAAGTGAAATCTCAGTGTTGTTTTCATCTGCATCTTTTGAATGACCTGTGATGTGGAACATTTTTTCATGTTTATATGCTGCTTTTACTTTTTTGTCTGAGAAATGTCCATTCATTTCAGATCAGGCCCCGTGATCTTCCTACTCTGATCCTGGATGCCCCTGAGGATCCCAGAAGATTTCTACTTAACTTTCACCCTATCTAAGCCTGTCTCTCAAGGCTATCTCTCACCAGATCTGTATGAAACGATGTGACTTCCATCCTGAAGTGAAATTCCCCTCCTGGCCACTGGTCTCTTCTTCTATCTGTTTTGTCTGTTGATTGTCAACTCTGTTGCCCTGTGCTATGTGGAGAACCCAGGGATTGGAGGCAGGGCATACGGTTGTTGGTGGTGGGGGTCCTTCTTGCACCAGCTCTGGGAGCTCAATGGGTGGTGGCATTGGGTGGGGGTCGGACATGTACTTCCCAGGACCTCCTGGGCTCCAGTGGGCAGACTGTACTTGAGTACAGTCCTTGAAAAATAAATATAAAATCTGACAATAACATTTTGTCAAATATAAGATCACACTGCTCAAGAATCAATACCCGAGGCCAGGTGTGGTGATGCACACCTGTAATCCCAGCCCTCAGGAGGCTGAGGCAAGAGGATTGCTGAGAGTTTGAGGCCAGCCTGGACTATGTAGTGAATTCAAGGCAAATCAGAACTACATAGTGAGTAAAACAGAGACAGAAAAAGAGAGAATATCAATACCTGAAAGTAAGAAATTAAGCATGCAGCAGATATAAGAGATAATTCTGTGACCAGGATTAGGAAAAAACCAAAGGACAGTCAATAAATGTGATTATTTGGGTACATCAAAATTAGGTGCAGGAGCTAGGCACAGATGGTGTGTGCCTCTAGTACCAGCACTTCAAAAGTTGAAGCAAGAGGATCACTTAAGCCTGGAAATTTGCAGCCAGCACAGGCAACAAAATGAGACTGTCTCAAAGGAAAAAAAGTTTAATCAATCACTAAAACAGTTAAAACTTTCTGAGATACTAGTATAAAAAATATTTGTGGCACTTGTAACCAAGAAGGGATTTATTAATGCAATGAATGCATAAAAAGCTCAAAGTCAACAAGGCCTGAAAATTAGTGCAAAAATAGACCAAGGATAAAAATAATTAGTTCAGAGATAAAACAACCATATGGCTAATATGTAAGGCAAAATTCAAGCCCAGTCTTCAGAAATATGCAAATTTAAACCATGAACTACTACTTGACACCAATATGGTGACACTTTTTATAAAGACATATAATTTCAAACTGGAGGTAGAAATAAGGGACAGGAATAATTTGCTTTTCTGGTATGAGCATAGCCTCCTCTTTGGCTCCACAGGCAATCTTTTGAAACTGGCTCGTGTCTAAGGATTCCACCCATGGATAAGCATTCCAAAGAAATTTTGACATGGCCCCAAAAAGGATATGGGCCAGAACACACCATGGCATCCTTGCTACCAGGAAATTGCAGTGATATGTGCATGTCACCCTCCAGCGCACCCTCCTGTCTAACATAGGATGAAGAGCTAGTAACAACATTTCCAGACACCTCTGCAGCTGAAGTTCTGAAGAGATTTCAGCTCAGCCAATCCTCTGCACTCCTGGGAGGGTAGAAGTCATGCTCTTCTGCCACTACTCCTTTGCTTCCAGCAGCACCATTGTGGAGAAGTTGGATATCACCATGCTGGTATCAGCAAAGATAACCACGAGACAGTGACTGGAGGCTGAATGCAGGACATCTTTCTGTGCTAGGGTAGGTGGCAGCAAGGCTGGTGTGTTTCTAGGGTAGCAACAATAAGCAGATGCCTCCTGATTAGACTGGTCTTGGGCTAATGATGTTCAGGCAGCTCCTGATAAAAGAAGAGAGAACAGGTTCCTCAGTGGCACTGAGGGCCTTTCCTCAAGCTGCCACCCGGAGTCTGTTTTCTTCAACATTCTCAGTGATTATGTAACATATCCCTTTCTGTTTCAACTAGATTCAGGTCTCTGAATTGCAACCAAAGTCTGATGGATTTTTACCAGGAGGGCAGAACTTTGTTCAGTCATCTCTTCTATATTTGCCGAGTTAATTTACCATCAAAGGCCCTCTCAATCAGGCAGATCCATTCCTTCCTCTGTGTAACTCACCAGAGTTGTCATTTGTAGTGGAATTCCTTGCTTATCTCTCTGTCTTCCTCACTGGTGCATGCACTCTTTGAAGCCAGGCATGGGATCTTATTCATTTATGTGATGCCAGCTGGTAACATTTCAGCCACACTCCTTCCCAACTCAGGCCCTTTGAAGATGTTGTACTGACCTTCCTGGCAGTCTTGCCTACTCCTTTTCATCCCTTTAACTCTTTTTGACTCAGGAAGATCATCTTGACAGTGATTTGCACTCTTCAATATAATGGCCAGTAGTCACTTGTAGTTGCTTAAATTTTTATTAAATGAAAACACAAAATTAATTGTCAATCCCACTGGCCACATTTTATATAGATGCCTGTGTGACTACTATAGAGGACAGCATAGAATATAGACTCCTTTGTCATCACAGAAAGTTCTGTGATCAGATAACACTGACCTAAATAAAGGAGGGCTCTGTATTTTGCACTTCTACAGCATGATGTATTTTTCCTATATAGCATTCATCAAAGCTAATGATGAACTAATGCCTAAATTACAGGCTCCATTAAGACAGGAAAATGTTACTACACAAGCAAGTACATCACAAGTGTTGGACACTAAATAGTATTTGTCAACAATGAATAAATACTATAGCTGTAATCCTTGTAATTTTTTTGTGGTATGGGGGACTGAACTCAGGGCCTTCATACTAAGCTACATCCCACTTCCTTTTTATTTTTATTTTTTTTTTTATCTTGAGATACGGTTTTGCTAATTGGCCTGGGCTGGCTTGAACTTTCAATCTTCCTCCCTCAGCCTCCCAGGTATGTGCCACCACACTTGGCTCCCAACCCTGGCAATTTGTAGTTCAGAGTCTGGACGTTATCTGTGGCTTAACGTAGACCCAAATGTTTCTACAGTCAAGTTTTAGACCACTTTCTTCCCTTTTCCCCAAACATTTGTTGTCTTTTCGGAAAAGAACAGGACAATAGTATCTAGCTAATGAGGAGTTGGGAACAGTACTTTGGTATTAGAAATTATATTCCACATATCAAACTGTGAAACACAGGATTAGAAAAAAATTTTGTTATCCTACCTATTCATGTCCATATAAACACTTGAGTGTTCATAACCAAGAGATAAACTTTTAAAAAGTAAGAAACACTTCATTTAATTAGATTGATCATTAAATTTTTATTTTGCATTATGAGAGAGGTGAAAAAGTATAATTCTTTTATAAGCTTGCAATGACATACTTTAAAAAGAATAGACATTTAAAGTCGGTTAAAGATCTCTTAGATGAATAAAAGTAGAATAAAATAATCAATTAAAATTGCAGCCATTATGTCTAGCAATGAATTACATGCAAAGTGTGGTAAGATTAGAAATATTGGCACTTGATAGTCTTAGAGTTTAGAAAAGTAAGCAGCCTGTAGTACTGTTACCCTACACTATCTAAGCAGTGCCCTGGTCACATCTTTATTCACTGGGATTTAGCTTTAATTAATACATCCACATCAGCTTTGTCTGCTTCTCCAAGACTTTTTTGATAGTTGTCAACAAGGACATTGTCCTCCTTCTTGAAGGGCCTCTGAGAGCCATCTTCTTTATTGGTGAGTGAGCTTCCGAGGCTAATGAAATTGTGTGCTTCTTGTAGCTTCTTAAGCAGCCACTCCACCCTCGCCTTGGTGGCCAGATGTTTGCTCATGTTGTGCATGAGCTGTATCTCGCTCACAGATCTCTTCCTAGGAGGAACAAAAGCAGAGGGCCGCTCCATTAGCTTCCCACCACCCAAATGGAAAGCCAACCTCAAAAGCCAATCCCACGCCTTTCTTCACTACCCAGAAGAGGCTCCAGTACTTACTTAATAGGTTTCCCATCCGTTTTTGTAAGAAAACAAATCGCAAGCATGACAATCACGACTTTAGCCATGTCTTTTGCAGACATCATCTTCACTAAAAAGAAAAGAAAACTTCAGTGTTCCAAATTGTATAAATGCATTTATAGTAACTTTCATTTATAACTTTATAGCCAATAGCAAAATGTGACAGGAACTAATTGGGTTGGTTTCATGAGAGGCTTTCAAAATCGGCCTCTTCATATTATGGAAACATTAGTAACATTATACATACATGTATTTAGAGAATTTAGAAAGGTAGCTTTGTTTTTCAGTACTGGAGATTTAACCCAGGGCCTTCACACTGACACACTGAGCTATTCTCCCCAGGTTTAAAAAAAATTATTTTTGAAACAAGATCTCGCTGGGTCTCTAACTTACACAGACTGTGCTCAACTTGTGATCTTCCTTCTTCAGGCTCCCAGGTCACAGACAGGTATTAGAAACGTGCCCACCTAACAGTGACTTTTATTTTCTTAGCTATCTTTTTTTTTTTTTCTGTACCGGGATTGAACTCGGGTCCTTGTGCTTGCAAGGCAGGCCACTGAACTGCTGAGCTAAATCCCTGGCCCCTTAGGTATCTTTTTGATATGCCTTGTGCAAGACTGAATTCATAAAAGTTAAGTCACATGATGAATGAAAAAACTTTCTTTTGAGAATTTTCTTCCATGTTTTTTGCTGGTTATTCATAAATGCTTGTAAGAGGCTTAAAATTGACTAGTCTTACTCTAAATAAATTGTCATGACTGCTTATAGTCTAGATATAGTCTGATTTTGAGGTTTTACTGAATTCATACTTCTCCTATCATTAAAAATATTTACCAAAACATTTTACCTTTTTTTTTGGTACCAGGGATTGAACTCGGGACCTTATGCTTGTGAGGCAGGCGGCACGACCACTGAGCTAAATCCCCAGCCCCCAAAGCATTTTAAAAGCATCTAATTATTTGTGATATACATTTTGATCTTTGGCTCTTAAAACACATGTCTGCATCTTATTTGTTCAATTTATTGTGTTAACAATTATGTATTTGTATAAGTTTTAGCTCTTTCTTCTTTTGCTCATAATCCCTTTTGTATCAATATAGAATATTTTCCCTTAGTCTGCATTTCAGTAATTGCAAAGGCTCTAATGAGAGAAGCACTTTTTCTGATTGCTTTATGTTGTATCTTTGACAGACACCATAGCTATCTTCTCCTATAAGGGAAATCTCATCAATGAGAAGTAGCCTAAGAAATATTATAATCTGCTGCATTTTTTCCACTGTGTAATATAAAGATAAAGAACAACTAAAAATTTTTCCTTTTTGGGTTATAATAGAAAGAACCACTGAAAGACAGGAGTGCTTGTGTCTAATCCTAGCTTTATCTCTTCACCTGACACATCTCTACTTCATTTCCTTGTTCTTAAGAGGGGCATAGACTTTTTATAGGATGTCTATGAGAAAAGAGCTAATAATTGTTATTTTACCATCTTTAGTGCTTATGCACAATTTTCAGAAAAGAAAACTGAAAAAAGTTGTCCTTTATGTACAGGCAATACATATTCAGCAATCAGTGGGAGCTTTCCAATTTCGGTAGATAAATTGAGCTCTCTATGAGCCATAAAATAAGCATCTAGGTAAGGATACTCTGTAGGAAAAATTGAAATTTATTTAACAAATTTATATTATTTGAATCAAAACTATTCATTTACCACCACCCTATTTTACTTCAAAATTTAGACAAGGAGACTACTAAAACATATCATACCAAATGTTCATCATTCTCCTGTAATTTCAGATGTGCTTTTTAAAAGTCCAAGTATCTGAAAAGGTTTCAATCACAAAATGAGTCTTTTCTTGGCATAAACTTGTCCTTTGTTTTATGTTTAATTTAATTCAACCCTCTTAACAATTTACAATGGATAAACAGTATGATATATGCAGGAAATGATACATTAAATACTTGCTTGGTTATGCCCCAAAAAGCTCATGAGATTTAAAGGAAAACTTTAAAGATGAATTACCATCCAGTGACTTCAGACAAGATCCTCCTTCAGATGAACTGGCAGCCGACGCTGTGTTACAGTTAAGTCTACTTGAGAGAACTGAAGAGTTGCTCTGCTGTCCCTCCAGGTGTGACTTTTATATATAGGTCTGTCGCTTGGCAAGAAGCTTTTTTATTGTTGCAGATAATGTTACTCCCAATCTCTGGATCTCAACTGTAGGGGCCAAAGCCACACACCCCCATTGGGTGGTGCCCATTCCTCTTGAGATTTTGATAAATGGATAATAGAACCAAAACATTGAGGTGTGGGATAACAGAGTTACTAAAGAATTCTAAAAATATTGAGTTGTACCAATGAGAAAAATTCTGATTTTCTTATATTTGAGTGTACATTAAAACTTCTGATTCCAAAGATACAAAATGAAGTTATTATTTTATATAAAAATAAAATGTGAAATAAAGGGAATTTGTTATAACCACATTATTAGTACCACTGATATGATAATGAGTCATATATGCTATGTTTATTTTGCAAGCCATTTTCAACCAATCCATATCACTTTTAATTTTTTTAAATGAGTATTTTGTTGTCTTAAAAATGTTTAAAAATGCTTTTAGTACATAATTTTGAAAGCTTCAAAAGTAAAATTATTTAAAATTTATTTCATTTTCATTTTCATGCATTTTATGGGTAGTAACATTTACTAAGCATTATGTATATTTAGTACATTACATACAACACTCCACTAATTTTTTTTTTTTTTTTTTTTTTTTTTTTTTTTTGGTACTGGCGATTGAACCCAAGACCCTGTGCTCACGAGGCAGGCATGGTGCCACTGAGCTAAATCCCCGGGCCATTAACCCACTAATTCTTTATAGGAGTCCTTTAAAGTATGTACTATTATCTTCATTTTTTTTTCTTGAAACAAATTATTGCAATATAGCCCAGGTTTGCCTTGAACTCATGTTCTTCCTGCCTCAGCCTCCTTAGTACTGGGATTACAGTTGTGTATCATCGCACCCAATTGATTGTCCCCATTTTCACTTGAATTAATTTAGGATTGGAAGGCGGAGATGACAGAATCCAACAGATATCTCTATGACCCCAGAACCACTTTGATTCTTACTACCCTTGTTTCCCCGTTAAAATATGACCCTTCTTTGAACCTCAATCTTCTTTTTTTTTTTCTCAGCTTTAATTGAGTTTATTGGTACATTTTAGGGATACAGTACAGTTACATTCATTGTTGGGATCTTGTACCTCTACATGACAAGTCTTGGTTCTCATTTTTTCCCCTTGTCCCTGCCCTCCCTTCACCCCCTCCTACCCTCCCCATCTACAAACACTTTATTTCCATCTTTTCATTATCTCACATTTTTTTCTTTTCCCTTATTACCCTTCCGCTACCCATCCCACCTTCCCTACACCTTTAGCTCCTTTCTTCCCATTTCTAAATGTCAGTAATCTTATTAGGATCTTCTGTATTATTGCAGATGATTCACACCAGAGAAACTATTTGGTATTTACACATGTGTGACTTATTTATTTCACTTAGAAGTATATCTTCAATATGTATCCATTTTCCTATGAATGAATCTATTTTCTCATTATTTATGGCTGAGTAATATTCCATTTTATAGAAAAACCACATCTTCTTTATCCAGTTTCCAACGGATGGGCAAATGGGCTGTGTCCAAGATTTAGCTATTACAAAGTGTGCCGCTATAAACATGGGTGCGCATACTTCTCTGTGATATGATTCTTTTAGTTCTTTTGGAAAGATACCCAGCAGAGGGATGGCTGGGTCAAATGGAACTTACAGTCCAAGCTCTCTGAGGTATCTCCATATTGATTTCCACAGTGGTTGCACCAGTCTGCACTCCCACCAACAATGGAGAAGGGTTCCTTTCTCCCCACAACCCCGCCAACATTTGTTATTGTGTGATTTCTTGATAGCAGCCATTCTTTGTGGGGTGAGGTGGAATCTGTGTTGTTTTCATCTTCATCTCTCGAATGATCAGTGATGTGGAACATTTTTTCATATATTTACTTGCTGCTTTTACTTCTTTGTCTGAGAAATGTCTGTTCATTTCAGATGCCCATTTTTGAATCGTGTCTTTATATTTGGGGGGCTGATTGTTTTGAGTTCTTTATATATTCTTGATAATAGTCCTTTGTCTGAGGAACAGCTGGTAAAAATTTTTTCCCACAAACCTCAATCTTCTTGACTTGACTTTGCATACTGCTTTGCAACCTCATTACCCAAGAGTTAGGTCCTGATTCTCATCTTCTGCAACTCATGATTGAGCACTGGTTCCAAAACCTGCAGCCACTTTTTCAATTTAAAATATTGCTATAGCCTGCTTCCCACCTAGCAACAAAATTCCTTGAATATCCTTGATAGGGCAAGGATGTATGTAGTTTGTCTCCCAACCAAAGTGCCATTCCCAGGATTAAGTCAGTTCTTATAGCTCTGGTCCCACTTAGGCTTCGTGTCACCCCCTTTCTGCTAACCATTACCAAGGTAGACCCTACCTCTGGTAAGTGTCAATACAAGTTTAAGTAGTCCAGAATGAGAGAGATATGTGTTAGCCCTGTTCTCCACTTGAGTAGATCTCATTTGAAGTCTACTCCAGGCTCCACTCTAGAAGCATTAAAAAGAAGCTAGAACATTTTGAGGATATAAATTAGTCTGGTAAAATGTTGAAAACCATCACATATGAGAAGCAGTTGAATAAAGCTGGAAAATTCTGAAGAAAGTCTTGAAATGACTAAATCTGTATTTCATTATTTATTGGACTATTATAAAGATGAAGTATTCTCTGTGATTTAACAAGAAAGGGCTAGGCTTAATGGTTAAGATTATAAGGAGGCCTATTTAGGCTCAATTTGGATATTCTGACTGTGAAAGGTATCAAGTACCTTAAGCAATGAGCTCCCCAACACTAGAAGTATTCAAGCATGTATCAGGTATATTATAGAAATTTATACATGGTAGTAGATTAAACTGGATAACCAACAGGTCTCTTTCAACTATAAAAATCTATTGTTTTGAATTTTTGC